AGACGGAAAAGTTGTGAAAGAAGCATTCCTGGAGGCTGCCGACGCGCTTTTGGGGGACAGTAAAAATAACAGTAGCATTTCAACAGGTTTTTGATATAATAAAAACTCAAGTTAGATACCGTTATTAATCAGCTGTAAGTTTAAGTTTGTTTGAATTTATTCATTATAATTATTGTACAAAATGGTATAAGAATGCAAACTTAAATTGATTATAGTCTATTATCAATTCAGGTTAAGAAACTAGTGTTGCTTGCATTCTATTTAAAAAGGCATTTATTTTTATACTCTACTAAAATAAAACAAAAAAAGGGTTTGATTCTATTAATTTTGTCTTTTCTATTGCACTTTGGAAGCAGATTCCTGTGTAGCTTCAGATCGGAGTTGTCTTATTAGTAAGCCTAATTTATACTTTTGTAGCGACACTATTTTTATATAATGGCAAAGAAAGGGTTCAGTCTTTTCTTTTTTCCCTGTGTCATGTGTGGCAGCACTGTTCAATGTTTCTTGAAAACATTACCCACTGTAGTATGTGACGTGTGAATAAACTCCAACTCTGTATCAACAACACTGTTGTGTAAATTCAGTTAAATACTTGTATGTGTGTAGATTAGAAAAAGAGGTAAGATAAAGGATCTGCAGTATTTTATGAAGTATTAATTGTACAAAGGTCAGTTTTATACAAGTAGAAGTGTGTATTTACCTGGTAGTAGGCTGTCAGTAATGGCTACGACTCTCTATTTGGACTGGTAGATCTCTGCAGACTGGCAACTTTAAAAGTCGCTCTCGGTTCAAAAAACATTGGGCACCCCTGCACTAAACTGTTGGCAGCTTGTTGTAACATCACTAAAAACGAAATGCTTCTATAATAAATACTGGATCCCCATCTTAAATACAGCCAACCCACATAAATATTCTATCTTACAATTTCAAATATTAATAGTTGAATGCCTTTCTTCAGTACTGACGTGAGCAGTGATATTCACTCTGTATTAATGTTGTGTGATCAAAGGTATGCAAGTTATAGATATTTCACTGTCTCCTATTTCAGACAGCGATTACAGAAAAGCGCACACATGTTGATGCCCTCTCTCTCCTGACAGCTTCCTGAAATCTAAAGCGCCGGTCAGCCCACCTGTCCAGGGGCATGTAGGCATTCAGAATGGATCCAGCCATTGCCTTGGTGCTGGCGTTGTCGCTGATGGCGCCCAGGCTGACGGTGCCAGACTCCCCGCTCAGACTGTAGCGCTCCTTCTGCACATCCGCCTGCACCTCCAGCCTGACAACAACATATATCATTGATATATATATAGGGCTGTGGTTGTAAACTCAAACTAATTAAAAAGACTCAAACTGAACTAAAACAAGATTGCATGGCTAAATTAAAATTAAAATAATCATAAAGACAAATCATTTATCTATTATAATTGAATCAATACCAAAGAATGACGAAGCAGGAATGTCTGTAAACTCTGCAACATTAAACTCCAAAAATGGAACAGATTTCAATATTGTAGTCCATATGACCTGTTGGTTTTCAACTCCACTGAATCCTCTACCGACCGGCTTAACGCCTGGAAGGGAGATATAGAGGAGGATATTTCCTTGGATGACGGGGGTGTGATATGCACTGAGGCACATAGGCAAACTGCGAATACCAGATTTAAATTGCTACAACACAACTGGCTGATGCGCACGTACATAACACCTGTGATATTAAATCAGTTTAATAATAACATTCCAGATATTTGTATTAAGTGTGAACAGTCTAAAGGCACACTTTTCCACTGCATGTGGGAGTGCAAAGAGATTGCAACTTTCTGGTGCGAGATCTCACAAATAATTCACAAAATGCTTGATGTTAAGATACCTCTTGATCCTAAATAGTTTATTTTGGGACTTTACCCCTCCACCCCAGTCATAACAAAGAATAAAAAGAATCTCATAAACATGTGTTTACTCCAAGCAAAACGCTCGATTGCCTTGTCATGGAAGAACACTCGGAGGCCACAGGTGGGCCAATGGCTGAGGGAAATTAGTAATTGCTGTTCTATGGAGAAGATAACGTACATTCTGAAAATGAAACTTATGATAAGGTTTGGGTTCAACTGTTGTCTATTTTAATGTGTCAAACATGCTGAGAAATAAGGGACAGGGATCTGGTTTAAAGGAAAGTAATTCTTAAACTGCAGTCAGTGCGAACTCTTTTTAGGATAATGTTGCTACTGCCCAATTGTTTGTGTTTTTATTTAATTTAATTTTATGTATTTTTTAAAATGATATATTTTGTATACAAAGCTACATCTCTTTGAGACATTATGCCTGCTTTGGAAGAGAACTCAAAACAATTGTGTAAAGCCTGAACTAAACCTTTCTTAAAACCTACAGAAAACTAAAACTAGCAAACAAAACAGCCAAAAAAGTAACGTGAAATTGTCAAAGTCAAAACTAAAATGTGGTTTCAGTACCTGTTCAGGTAGTGCACCATGGTGCTGCCGGAGAGGCTGCCGGTGATGCTGGCCCCGGCCAGGGCCCTGGTGGACGCCGTCTCACTCAGGCTGTCCCTGGTGGCCCCCACACGGTCCATGTGGCTGCCGCTGGCACTCAGGCTGCCCGTCAGCCCCCCCATACTGCCTTCACCTATACTGGGGTTGTTTCTGGTGTCTGCCACTGATGTACTATCTGCATAGAAAGAGCCATCATGAATGATCAGTCCCAATCGGGAATGAAGGTCAGTGCTGGGTCTTAAATGATGAAATCCAACAGATTTCTCTAGGACAGGGACTCGGTGGTTTATGTGTCAGCAAAGACTTGGGAATAAACACATAAAGTCACTCTTGGGTGTCTTTATAGGTGGGGGGAAGTGGGGGTTATTTGGGATGTGGGCAGTGAAGCCTACCAGTGGCCCCCGCCCCGCTGCCAACATTCATGTCATTCTCGTCATCAAATTCTATGCGAACTCCTTTGCCATTCCCAGCGGAGACTCCACACCCCCCGCTCCGGCACAGTGAGATGGGCACCACACCGTAGACGTACGCCAGCATGATGGGAACTCCAATTCCTGAGGACCAGAGACAGAGACCAGCAGGTACACTTTAGACCAGGCATTATATACAAAACAGTGGAGCACACTATCGCATGCACACCATATACAAAACCATCTCTTTTTCCATCTTCTTGTAGAGAAGAGTAAAAAACGATTCGCTTTTCAATAGTTATGTTATGGTATGTAACTTAGTGATTAGTAAGGTAACTAGTTGACTTTAAGTAAGCTACAAGATATTCTTTTAAATAATAGGAACTCTGAGAATAAACAAAATAAATTCCTGAGGCTAGCAAAGTAAAACAAGGATATTTCAATGAAAATAGTGCGTGAAGGGGACGGACACTGACCCACAGTGACTGCAGCCACCACTGGAGACACGATGACAGAGAGAGTAACCCCACCCGCGATCACCAGGTTCCTCTTGTGGTTGACGATATCTTTGCCTTCATAACGGTTGTGGATCTTTCAGAGAGAAGCAGAGCAATGAGACGCACACAGTCTGTGTCCAAAGCAGCTGAGAGCACAGTTTTGAGGCCTTGAAGACACCAAGGACTGATAGGACTGACAGTAGACAGGAACAGTGTCAACAACTCTACATTGTTGGATTGAGTGGAAGACTCATGTTATTTTAATCTCCTAACAACTGGTCACATGGTAGCCAACAAGCCAGAGTGGGAAAGTAATTCTCCAGTGTACAGTAACCAGCCACCGATGACAGCTGATATTATTTTGAGAATAGATTAAAGCAGTGGTTCCCATCCGGGAAGGATGCTGCAGGATTCTCTCCCTGTGTAGTGAGCGTTTTCCGGATTCCAACATTCAGTGCATTTTTGACTTCTGATCCCTTTGCTGGGAGAAATGTTTCAAAAGATGTGAACTCTGTCTGAAGTGTTTGTGCTGATTCAGTGTCTGTGTGTCAACAGTGTCAGAACAAAGGGAACACGTCTGTCCGAGGCAAACACAGACTGTTCACCCAATCAGTGTTTTTATTTTCCTCCTCTGTCCCTGAGTGACAAGGTTCATTTAATGTTGAAATTCTTGCCAATAAAGATTTAAGTGAGATATTTTTCAGAATTTGGTTGACATAGGAGAGATTTCTGCCAGCTCAGGCCAGAGACAAAGTACTTCTGATGAGACTTGTAACTATATTGCAAGTAACTGGCTTTGTCATGGTGATTCATCAGGCACCATATTTAAAGAGCATCTTGCAGGTTTTTTTTTTTTTTCTACATTTATGCTTAAACTTGCTTGAAAATTAAAATTAAAAAAGTGTTGCTATATGTTTAT